ATGCCAAAGAACGTGTAGCTAATGTGGGTGCACAGGAATGGATCGATGTTCGAGGAGTCGAACTTCCCTTTCCCGGGTCGATAGTTGGCCCAGGTGCCCCAGTAACAGTTGAGGATCTCTGCAAGATACGGCCAGATGATATGTATAAATTAACAACGAAAAGGAATTCGCACTTACTCTCACTGGAGGCCAACGGAACGAGGCAAATAACTGATAATACTAAGCACGCAAGCGTATTCATGTTTTCTGTGGCATTTGGCCCACTCTGTGGCTTCTTTTATAGTCTCTTGACTTATCTGGTCCATTATTATCTTAACCATTCATGGACTAATCATATAATCTGTGCCGATAAAATCTTTCATCTTTCATTAAGATAGCATTAACATATTTTTATCTCTCCTATAGTCTTCATTAAACAAGTCAGGGTACTCCAGTTGGGAACACCTGGCTAACCGATGGACAGATAGAGAGTCGTCATTTCTCATTGTATACCCTGTTGTGTGTGTGTATTTGTATTGCCTGTCCTAGATCTATCTTACTTTTTATTTTGTAGAAAATTTTGGCTCTATTTAAAAATGAAAGCATTGTATATAAACAAAATATTTACGCCTTATTCTTTATTTATTTAGAATCTTAATAGGGGCAATTGACATCTGCGGGCCAGCCACAGCTGAGTGTATCAGGGTTAAAATATAGACCCTCTCCGCAACTGAAGTCGTAGCGAGCCCCATTCACGCATTGATAGAAGCGATTGCAGTCCCCAATCTGCCAGAAGTAGCCATCTCCCGTGCAACCCTCACTGGATCCACCTCCACTGCCGCCATTGCCGTTGCCGCCATTGCCGTTGCCGCCGCCGCCTTCAGGAGTCGGTTTAGGTGTAGGTGCAGCAGTTACACCACCGCCTGTTCCACCACCACCACCACCGCCGCCAGAACCTCCTCCTCCGTTGCCCACATCCACTCCCAATCCCCTGTTCATTGCCTTCAACAGCGGATACGTTTCCCCGCACATCCCGCGGAAGTCGTCGGTCTCGATGGACCAAGTCATAGCGCCGCCCAAGTTTCGTGACTGCACCAATTGCATCTTGAGTTCGATGCTCTGGACATTGTCGTAGCCAATCCACTGATCCCCACTGAATGCATAAGGCGACTTGCTCTCTCCATCAAACAC